TTACCTCGATGTCATGCGCTCATCTGTCACCGTCAGTTATGAGACACGAACACGTGCGACGTTAATCACGCGCTATGAGCAAATGCTTCGCAGAGGTCAATTCTTGAAGTGTTCCAGCGTACGCGGGCAACTTGGCCCTCTTTGACAGGTGTGCCGCTCGCGCCGAGGGGAATGAGGAATAAAGTTCCGTGCTGCCCACTGGTACACCAAACAATTGAGAACTATTTGGCAGCAGTCACGAAATCCTTCGACCGTTTTCCCCCCTGCCGTCACGTTTGATGTTAGTTATGGCTGAAAGTCTGATGCTGCATTTCTGTAGATGCTCAGGTTCAAGTTGCGCGAGCGAGAGGAAAACAAAAATACAGAAAATATTGAAGTTTCATACTCTATTAAACAGTTAGATCTGATCTGATCCAAAACACATCTTTGCATTTCAAATTGAAGAAAGTTCCTACTTCTTGAAAGTTTCGGTTGTAAATTATCACCCTTAAAATTTTAATTGTTTTATGTATTAATGTTACACCACTTTCTTGGTTGGGTCTCATTAGTCGTCTGCTCCAGTCTAATTAGTGTAATGCACCTATTTGGAGGAACAAGGTTCAGACAGATCTGCTTTCATGGAGTAATATTTCTTTGCACGATGCGGTAAAGTGCCTCATAACAAAAGTGTTGTGAAGTTGCGAATATGGCGGCATCACCAGCCAGATTCGTGGCATTTATGCCACAACACCCGAACGTTCTTTACCAACACTGTCTTTTCCATGCCATTACCGTTTTTCTATTTTTTTAATCATCGATCGATCGTTCAACGGAGCTTGTTTTCGGTCAACTATTTTATTATTTATTGCCACTTATGAAGTATGTGAACCTCCTTGTTGGCAGAAAATCTCGTTTGACCATTCGCGTTTTCATGGTGTGCAGCTGGCGCTCGTGTCTCGTCAACGTGGCCTGTCGTTCATACTACAGTACGGATCTCACCACTGTTCTTTAGACCTGTCGCTTTAGTTTCATGGTCATTTTTTATTTCGAAGCACGTGGTTTACCATTCTTTCTTTGATTTAAGCATTCTCTCATCAGCTTCTTAAACATTGGTCCTTCTACGTCATGTATCTCTTCAATCAAGTCATAGTACCTTACTCATGAACGATAGTATTTCACTGCTACATTTATCAGATAGCAAATAGACCGCGATCTTCAGTGAATAATTTTTCTTTCTCATTCTCGAAATAACCTGCATGTATTCCCTATGAGAGTAGTCAATTTTCTCTGGAACTGCTTTCAGCCTTCCGCTTTCGCTTCCACTCCTATGCTTTAGTTTAATAGTGTCACATCATCTGCATGTCACACT